ACTCTTCCTTTGTTTAAGTTAAACTGTTCGCAGACGACTGCATGGTTTTTGAAAAACTGGCTACAGTCCAGGACCAGGAAAGTTTCAACCAGTCGCTAGGGGAAATCTTCTTGTGAAGTAAGCAATGGGGTAGGCCAACTAATTTTTGTAAGACCATCTCTTGCATAATTGCAAACAAGAACTAGGTCTTGAACTTCCGCTACTTTATACGCGGCATTGAAGAATTCAAGTATTTGGGAATTATTTTCGCTAATACTCTGCGCCGGAATAGTCATGTGGATTACATCTGAGCCTTTTATGCTGAAAGTTCTCGGTCACTTAAGTTTCGCACCTAGAAATTTATGTCCCCAGCATGCGCAGGCAGCTGCAACGCACCGGCGCTCGTTTCCCGTGGTTGAGTGCGTGATAGGATGATTGGATGTTAGAGTTAAGTGCATGGTTGACATGTAATGAATTAGAGCTAAACACCGAGAAAACAAAGTATATGATATTTCGAGCAAAAAATAAAAGTATTAATCAAGAACTTAACCTACGATTTAGATATAGTGAAATTCAATGAGTAAAAGCTCACAAGTTTTTAGGTGTATACTTTCAAGAAAACCTTAATTGGTCTTATCATATTGATCAGATCCGGCCAAACATCTCCCGGTCAATAGGCATTATAAATAGGCTCAAATATATCATTCCGGTTTGGTTAAAACGACAGTTATACTTTACTCTTGTTCATTCTCGTTTAAATTACTGCAGTTTGGTATGGGGTACGTGCTCACAGACCTGTATATCCAAGCTGCTCATTCTACAGAAAAGAGCAGTACGGTCAATTGCCAATATCTCATATAAGGAACACTCTAGCCCATATTTTATCAAGTATTCTCTTCCTACGGTAGAACAATCACTCATTCAAAAACTGGCAATTTACATGTTTTACAAAATAAAAGCACACCCTCAGTTTGTACATAAAAATTACATCAACAATGCATCAATATACTCATCTCGCCATACCCACTACACTCAGTCCAGAGTAGGCACAAACTACGGTAAACAAAGAATACTTAATCAGATCGCACAGCTATTAAACAACCACCCTGAAATACTGTCCATGATAAATCATTCCAATACAATATACACATTTAAACGAACACTGAAAACGTACCTTTCAGGTATAACATGATTTATTAAAGTTTCCGGCCGCATTTCTTTTGTTATATCAATGTATCTTAGTGTAATCCCACTATTAGTATTTGATTGTTTTTGTTCCTATGTTTCTGTACGTTGTGCTGCTGACTGTACAGGGGGATGGACCCTGTCAGGCGATTTAAATCGCCTTTTGCCCCATCCTCCTAGACACTTGTCTGAATAAAGAATATTATTATTATTATAGAATCTCCTGTTTTGGTTGTGTTATACTTTTTCTCTCTCGTGAAGACCGAAAGACTCACAGCGTTCTAAATAATAAATAAATAAGTAAATAATTCAATAAATAAATTTAAATCCGTCTACTATTCGCCATTTCTTTTCTTCTTTTTTTGTGTTTACCGTGTCACGCTTCCTGTTCGCAAGATCCTTGATTCCGATGTTAGTATAGTTTCCAAAAGTCGTCGAATATTCTTTTTCCTAGTTATTCAGTGTCCAAATTTTCTACAATTCCATTTTATAATTCAAAAACTTCCTTTCCCAGGTTTGTGTGTTGTGGTTAACAATCAGTATGCGTCAGTCATTCAACCAGTAACGAGACTTGGGGAAGACGCCGAGGAACTGTTAAGGTGATAGGGGCACGGTGTTTTAAAAAGCCGGAGATTTTGAGGACGGGGCAGATAACGCGGGTAATATTCAGCTTGGGTTTTGACACGGGAATTTCGTGATTGGGTTATTTCGTGCACCACCCATTCGAAGTGTACCATAGCTATCAGTGTTCAGAAAGCCTTATCTGTAACAAGCGATTTCTTCAAAGCCAAAGAAATACTTGTGATGCTTTTAGTGTTCGGTTTATCAAATTACAGGTTATGCCACATCGAGTAGAACCTTCACGGAGCCCTTTTTCTCGTTTTTGTTAGTGTGGTGGTTCTGCAGCGCCCGCGTCGAAATATATCTCGGATTACAACTTTCCAGTCCACTATTTCTATCGGAAATGAATCTATATATATATATATATATATATATATATATATATATATATATATATATATATATATATATATAACTGAGAAGAAAAAACCCTTAGTGAAAACAGCAACAACGGACGATTTAATCTTCGACGTTTTTTGAGCCGGCTTTCCTGACGAAAGCCGGCTCAAAAACGTCGAAGATTAAATCGTTCGTTGTTGCTGTTTCCACTAAGGGTTTTTCTTCTCAGTGATATACCCACGCCTTCGGCCTCCCGCCACCATGCCCCGTTGTGTGTATATATATATATATATATATATATATATATATATATATATATATATATATATATATATATATATATATATATATGAAGTAAGGTAAATATAAAAACAATGGACCGGGAAAGGTTAATAAATCAAAGATGCGTACTGTCGGAGTTACTAATTCGAAGTTTATTACGACGTTTCGAGCGAGGACCGCTCTTCATCAGGTAGCAAGAGTACAGCCCGTGAACGTTTATATACCCTTTAAAAAAGTAGGAACTGGAAACAGCGTTGTCAAAACAGATAGTAGTTCACACAGAAAGGAAAGAGAACGAAAACTTGCAGATGCAAAAAAAAAAAAAAAGAACGGTTTGCGGTAAAATTATTTACGCTCGCACAAAAAAAAATAAAAAAATAAAAAAGGGGGTTAGCAGTGAGGTTCTCCACGCTCGCAGAAAAAAAAGCGCAAAAAAAAGCGTTTGAAAGTTTCTGGTTGGGAAGGGGTGGCTCGTCTTCAAATTAGATAGAGGTCACATTTGACCACCGACGCGCCCAAATCCCGAGAAATTCCGTTGTGCTAGAAGATCAAAGTTTGAGGTGGATTAAAACTTTGGGGGATTTTTCCTTGAATAAGGAGTGGTAGGATGTAACAGTCTATGCCTGCCTAAGATTAACCGCTTGATCCGTATTTATCTGTTTTGGAGGTTCTCTTCGGACTTAAACGTATTAGGATGTGGTTTAAATATCGATTGTTAGGTTTCAAGATCTCCTAGTGTCTTTCTTTTCGCTTTTTTTGCGCTTTTTTTGTGCAAGCGTTAATAATCTCTCCGCCAACCCTTCTTTTTCTTTCCTTGCATTTGCAAATTTTGGTTTTCTTTCCTTTCTGTGTGAACTACTATCTGTTTTGACAACGTTGTTTCCATTTCCTACTTTTTAGGGGTATATAAACATTCACGGGCTGTACACTCACTACCTGATGAAGAGCGGTCCCCTCTCGAAACGTCGTTATAAACTTCGAATTAGTAACTCCGACAGTACGCATCTTTGACTTTATATATGTATATATATATATATATATATATATGTTCATTCATTTATTCATACATTCACTAATTTTTTACCTCTTTCTGCTTAAGGCAAAATGTTTGAAGGCTGTCAAAACTTCACGCATTTCGCCATAAGATGCACCACTCGCTGACGGCAACTCTGTCAAATAACTACATGGTAAGATCCCTTCTCAAAATCATTATAGAGAAAAACGAATATTTTTATCTTTCGGTTAATTCGGTTAATATTGGTTACCGGTAAATAATTTACAGTTACGGTTATGGTTTGCGTAATGTCAAATAACGGTTTCATTCCGGTTACGGTTACTGAAAAAAGTTCGTTCCTAAACGGTTTTAGGTTTCGATTACGATTACGGTTTGAGCCCCTGGTAACAAATTTAAACGCGTAGTCAAGTGACATTGTGGAACACTTTCATCGTCATTTAATTTTTCTATTAACGACAGAAGAAAACCCGAATACGTGGTTTCTTCAATCACCCCTCCTGCTCCCCAGCATCCCCAAGGAGACCTCAAATGTTCTTCCGCCAGGTTCGTCTATGAAATTGCAGTGAACGTATTATCGGACGCCTTTGAGGTCAACACAACGACGTCAGCAAATACAAAAGATATGCCAAAGCTCTGCGAATGGCCATTCCAGTATACCTTAAACCTATTCAAATCCCGGAATGCACATCAAAGTCGCCTGGCGTTGCACTGAGTTTAAAATATGAACCTCCTGTCTTCGTTCTCTAAGACAATTATAAAAATTCTCCACGCCATAACTAACAAGGCAAGTTTGGTGTGAACAACAAAAGTTGCGAACATACTTCCCATGGCAAGAGAGATGTAGTTTCCTTCCCCGCCCGAAGAGTGCAGACTTCAAAGCCCCGCCGGCTAATCAGGTCCACGTACAAAACAAAGTTCGTTAATATGATCCTAGGATCCGACATACATTATCGGATTCAATAAAAGTATCCCTACCGAAGAAACCAGTGTAACTTTTCGGCAACAAAATTATAAAGCAGAAAATCCAGTTTGATTTTCTGTTTTATAATCCTGTATCGAGAAATCGTACTGCTTTTTAGGTAGGGATATATCATATATACTTGGTATATACTGTCTATATTAACGTCTTGCTATTTAATGATACAATGAAGTGCAATAACATTAAAGAGTAATCTGAAAATCACTCGTAATTTTTTTTTAAAGATTATACAAATATTTTTAAAATAAAATCATACAGACTCTTCAAGATTAGAAATTAAATTTCAAAATTTCTCAGAATCTCACAATCCGATATTACGTCTAAATTTAGGCAACGTATCACCAGTCTCGTTGTAGGAAAATTGTTTCAGAAAAAGCTACCGGCCTTCTAAATTAGTGATTATAGAAGTATAATCTGGAGAAGAGTTTGCTCAGGCTGCCATCATAAAAAAGGTTTGACCTAATTGAAATCTCTACGATAGATTACAAATTTAAGGTAATGTTTTAAACTGTTTTTAGTTCTTAGCGTTAGCTATTTCTAAGCAAAAGCGTGGGAGGCTGGCACAATATGTATAGTCAATTGTCCACTTTATTTTGGCGTCTATAACTTTCTACTCTTCCTATCACAGCAGCAAACGGTCGCAAATATAAATCCAGCGAAAATTTGAAGTCCTCCGTGCAGCCGATAGTAGTTGTCGTATGATCCCTTGGAATCTCTGAAAACACCTGGAGCATCAATAAATTATATACTTTCGTGAGAGACGTCGCCGTGCATATTGCTTCCAGAAAACATGCACATACCGAAACAGTGACGAATATTTATGTTATAAATCAGGGCTGTACTCTAGGTGAAAAGATAGACGTAGCATAAAAGTATAACACTACCCTTCAAATAGTGAAACGATACTAATATATCTGTCTTTACTTTCAGCAGTATATCAGATGACATTCCACACTGCTGCTATAACTACCAAATCAACTAACAGACACTAGTACCTGCGATGATTATTAAAATCAGCATCTAATTACTCAAAGCTACTAGAATCGGCTATATATAATTTTTCAGTCCCCATAGGCGAGTACGCTAAGGCAATCTGGTTTTACCAATAAAAAACAACAAAAAAAAAGAAAATAAAAACGTGTATACTAAAATAGAAACGAAGCAACCCTCATAAGTAAAACTATCTTAGCACACAACCACAGCGAAAAGAAATAACCACATCAGGCTACTCACAAAATATCTCAGTAACAATGGTTTTTAATACTCATTATTTACGCGGGTAATGTCGGAAAGGAATCGTTTGTCTGACAACATTCTTCGCTCCACATCGGTAGATTCATTTGCAAATGCGTTAGACCATTATGTCACATAAGTGGTGCATACTATTAACTTACTAATAATATTATTTTATTATTTGCCTGCTGTCATTTTTTTATTGTTTCTTTCTCTCAGTTTTGTTAACGGCCCTTCTTTCTATCGTTTGCCCAACTACCGTCAGGTCATTCTTCTTTTCTTCAGTTCTTACTGTTACTGTTCGCTATGGCTTGTTCAGCTTTGATTACCATCTGTCAAATCCCCTCCTCTTTTTGCTGACCTCCCGTCCTTGGATGTCTCTCCTGTGCCGCTTTCCTATGGGAGTGTATGACCGGAAGCGTACAGTTTTACTTGACTGAAATGAGCTGGGAACATATGGCTTAATCTTTGAGATGCAGTCATGATGTGATGAAGAAAGGAAGGGCTACACTGCCCTTCCTTTCTTTGATAAGAGGTTTTAACTATGTCAACACGAGACCGGCGTCAAGATTCATTGAATTGGTCCTCGAAGCGACCAGTTATCTCTCGCCATTTATGGTACCAAGTGGTTCGTAGCGTTGACTCTTGAGGAAGAACCGGAGTTCTTCCATACACAAGCTTGAATCTATTAACTATGGTACTTGATTTTTTAGATCTGTTCAACGCAAAGACTGTGTATGATACATACATACCCCTATAGGTTGTGTGATGTGTTTACCTGCCGGTACTAAATATCCGCGATAGTGCGATTAATACGCTCAAAGAGCCGATTGCTTTGGACAGCAGGAGGGGTGCCTGGGCGTAATGTATTTCAAAGAATGCCATGTCATGCTTAAAAACGACTCGAGCTTCATGCTGCATCCTGATTGGTGAGCACAAAGCGAAGTACGCCGTAGCGGAGCACAATTCGTTCACCTCAAAAGCTCACAACGTGATCCACTGGGCTATAGGTATGGCACCTAGCGCTATCCATTTGGTGAGTTGATCAACAGCAACGATAACATAATGGTTTCCCCTTGATGAGCTTGCATATAGTCCCATATAATCGACTCCAATAAGCTAGACAGCAGCTTGCGGGGGATGGGTAGGATAGAGTTTGGTGACGGGTAAACTACTTGCCAATTTTTTTCTATGGCAAGTATCACAAGATGCGACACACTGAGCAACGTCTTGCGAAAACGCCCGCCACCAATAGCGGTCGGCGAGATTGGCTAGAGTCTTGGCTCTGCTCAGGTGACATGCTGTGATATCATCGTGACTTAGGCTCAGTTCGTCAGTCCTCAGGGACACCCGAATCACCGGTAGCCACTAACAATGCTGCGGGTTATCATGGCAAGGTATGCCTCTTTCACAGTACGCTCGACGCAGTCGCTGCATAGCTTCCGTCGAAGCAGGAGACGCAATCCGCTGTATAATGTCATGTAGCGTTTTATCTTCTTGAAGTTGACGAAGGTCAAAAGTGAACCCACACAAGCAGGTGTCATATTAAAGAGTCTTAGGATGCTTGTATAGTGGATTGCGAGACAGAAAGTCAGCATCCTGATGACTTCGTTCGCTGTGATGAACGCAGGACGGAAGTATTGTGAACGTAGCTAACTATCAATATGTGAATATATTGCGTTACGCTTGGGGTAAGAAGGAAGAAAATATTGAACACTTTATATCCTGTTTTAAAGCGACTCGCCACACTTTTGTTGATGGCAAAATTCACTTTGTAAATGCGGGGACAGCTAATCACAGCGAAGAAAAAAAAAGTTTGGACAAGCAGATAAATTTAGGCACTATTTATTACCTTCCGGTGGAGCAAGTCAATGCAATAGAAAAACAAATCTTATTTTAACTTTCGAGAGTGTAAAAAAACTTAAAAACTTCGAGAGTGTAAAAAACTTATTTTTCAAGGATAGATAGGGTGAAATATATTAGCCGTGAAAGTTTCACACTCAGGCTAGGGGGCGCTAGCCTACGCCCGAACTAGAGTTTTAAACTTAGAAAGAAACAAGAAGAAACAAAAAAACACAAAAAAATCTCACCTATTATTGTAGGGTTGCACAAGAATAAGGGCAGCGTGGACGGTCCCAGCAATGCACAACTAAAGGGGATTGCATCCGCTCCAAGGTGGTCAGTGATAATGGCAGCCTTTATGGCTGTGAGGAATGCTGAGGACATTGCTACGCAAAAGCAAAAAACGACTACATACGCATACTTTTCAACTTCTGGAAGGATTAAGAGCGAGCAGCCGAAAACAAAGAGATTGACGACGATTAGTGTGCTTCGGTTCATGAATCTAAGGTCAGCCAGAAGCGGGACAATTAAACATCCCACCAGTTGGGAAACCGATGAATACGAAACTATAGACTCGGCAGTTTCCAGAGTGAAGCCTTTATCTAATGAATAGTCGACAATTGTTGACTGAAATGCCATGGCTGCGAAATCCGATATGACGGTATATGCAAGAATTGAATAACAGAATGGCATGCGAAGTAGTCTGACGGACTCTCGGATACTCTCGGCGTATTTAGAAATGTTCTTTCCAGAGGGATTTTTGTTTGGAGAACCATCCTGTGAGAGATGAGTTGTGCTCATAGTGAAGTACTCTGGAGGCTTGATGCACTGTCGGACTTCCGAATTTTGTCTTATCCATTGGGGCACGTTTAGCAGGAGAGAAAAAGCGGTCACGTGCATTGTGATGGCTCCGGTCAGAAGTAGAGCGCCGCGAAAGCCATACGCTTCCTCGAAATACACGAGTGCCGGCGGGAAAATGAGTGATGCCAAATATACGCCGGCGAACTTGATGCCGCAAGCTATTCCCCGGTACCGATCGAAGTACAATATGTTAATGTAGGCGAGAAATACCGTGACGATTCCCACACCGGTACCTGAAAGGAGGAGGAACAGGTAAGTTATTCAGGTTCATCCAGTTACACAAAACATTTTTAGGGCGGAGCTCCTTAGGGTCTAGCCTTGTCCGGCGTCCGTGCTCACATCGATCGTCATCCCATCCGTCTTCTTAAAAAAAGAAAAAAAATGTTTGCTCAGTCGACAGGATTCGAACCTGTGCCGCGAGACGCCACTGGACTTCTAGTCCGCCGCCTTAACCACTCGGCCACGACTGTTTTTTTTTTTTTTTTATTTATTGCCGGTGTTTTTACAGAGACGCGCACACATACAAATGAAATCCAGCTACTACGCTACAGTACCACAGAGATTGCAGTGCTAATGTTGAGTAGGATTAAAACTCTTTCAACCCTTTCAATTCTTCAAAATATGGCAACCACTCTACGGTGGGAAACGCAGTTTTGTACGCTGCAGTCAGTTCACAAATTGTTTCAGTGAAATATTTGCGTACAGGCCGTATGAAAACATCAGCATTTCTCACAGCCATTCGACTTTTCCAGATGCTATGAAGACCGATGAGCATGATCATATCTAAAGGAATCGTGTCATTGGGATCTGTGTTTAAAAATCTAATGCCATGGGAGGTTACCGGTAAATCTTTTTTCAAGGTTCTTTGCAAGACGTCCCAAAAGAACAGAGCATCCCAACACTCTATAAAAACATGTTCAATTGTTTCTGGTTTTTTACATAAAAAGCAATGGTCACCCCATGGAACAAAAATGCCTTTGTCCTTCAGCCACTTCTTTACAGGAAGCGTATTTGTATGAAGTTTAAAGAAAAACGTTTTCAAAGAAGGCTGGACGTGCATCCTTTTAACGCGTCTCAGAACATCTTGATCTCGACGCTCGCAGCATCCGATGCGATACAATGGCACAGGGAAAAGAACATCATATAAATCATGCGTCAGGCGTTTTCGCGTTACTCCAGAAAGATACTCTAAAGAAAAACGAACTGACAGAATCTGAAAGGCGGTTACAACTTCGCTCAAGAATGCACTGAGTCGACAAAACCCATGATTGTATGACGACACAACAAACAAAGGCACTTGTTCGGACAGTCTTGTTTGTATCACTGTGCGTAGAAAAGGATCTACTTGATCTCGAAGAAACATAAATCTTGATACAATCTGTTTCACCCATAGGTGTGACAACGAGACGCCCCCCTTGGATACGCGACAAAAAAGGTTGTCTCGGCTTAGTCTCTCCCAACTTGACTGCCATATGAATACCGCAAAAACACGATGCAATTTTTGAATGTTAATGCGAGAACAACTGATGACCTGTAGAACATACCAGATTTTGGCAATTAAAAACACATTTCATATTGTGGCGCGAGTGAAGACAGAAAAGGCGCATCCTTCCCACTTCTGCGCCGTTCGCCGAGTTTCGTCAATCACTGCCGACCAATGCGCATTACTCCTTTTATAATGTTGAAGAGGCACACCAAGATACGAGGAAGGCGTTAGCATAAAATTTATATCTTCGAACTGCTCCGGCTTCGTAGCCCACGAGCCATGCCAAAAGCCAACACATTTCTCCCAATTTACGGATGCCCCAGTTAATTCACAAAATGTTTTAACAGTGGACACAGCTTCAGAAATACTACTTTTATCATGGCAAAATACAGCTACGTCATCCGCGTACGCCAGCAGCTTGACCTCTATGGCATGCAGTCGAAAACCATGTATATTTTTGTTATGAATGATGCTCAGACAGAAGGGTTCTAAATAAATATTAAACAATAAAGGTGAAAGCGGGCATCCCTGTCTTACAGACGACAGTATTGGAATGGGCTCTGACAGGCGACCGTTGACAATTAGCTGTGTAGTACATCCGCTGTACGCCATTTCTACTCCATTAAGGATCACTTGCCCCACCCCAATATGTTTCAGTACACCATACAATACGCTATGTTGTACCCGATCGAAGGCTTTTTCAAGGTCGATTTGTATCATGGCTACTTGGTCCAGTTCCATATCACAACATTCAAGAATACTACGTGCACAATGAACATTCGTAAAAATAGTTCTTCCTTTAATCCCACAAGTTTGGTGTGAGCCGACGATTCTGTGAATAACGGATTGAAGCCGTCTTGCAAGTACCTTCATAAATATCTTATAATCTACATTGCTCAAGGCAATAGGTCTATAGTTTTTAACACTCCTCAACTTTTCCGGGTCATCAACCTTCGGAATAAGAACTTTATGACTATTCAAAAAGGAAGGCGGCAAAAGTTTTGTTTTGTAGGAATCAGCCAGCACTTTATGAAGCTGTTGTGCTAAAATATTTTTAGATTTTTTGTATAGAGCTGTGCTTAGTCCGTCTGGTCCGGGCGTCTTACCTACTTTAAGCTCATCAATTGCAGCGCTGATTTCGCTTAACTCGATCGGCTGTTCAAGCCAAGCAGTCGTTTCCTCGTCTAATCTCGGCATCAGTTCTAGAAGGACGTTCTCGAAATGCATTGTATTAAGGGCTTCGTCACGTTGAAAAAGCTGACTGTAGTAGTCGCTGAAAGCTTGCGCGATGATTCCTTCGTCAGTACTTATCAAGCCGCGATACTCTATTTCAGAAATTTTCTTTTTACTGGCATACTGTTTTTCTCTGCTAAGCGCTCTTTTGGTAGGTTGTTCACCAAGAAGAAAAGTCTCTGCACGCGATCGAATTATAGCGCCTTTATATTTCTCGTTCTCGGTGGCTGCCAAACTTGCTTTTGTTATTTTAATATCGTTTATGTATTTACCGGGGAATTCACACTCCAATTTAAAAAGCCTCTTTAAATCTGCTTGAAGCAGTTTCTCTTCTGCGTCCTTTAAATATTTTAAAGCATTTGATCGTTCTAGAGCAGCTAACTTTATTTCTTGCTTTGTGATTTCCCATGACTCAAAAGAATTAACAAAGTAACCGCTTGTCATATTTGCCAGCACCTTTTCAAGTCTATTAGTGAAAGATTCGTCATCGAGAAGCTTCACGTTAAATTTCCACAGCTCCCAACAGAATCGGTTCTTCGCCGTTCTGGCTTTTCCCAAGGTGAACGTCACCAGCGCATGATCACTAAAAAAGACCGGTAGAACCTTGTACTCATCTGTTCCCGTCAAAAGATCGACAGAAACATAAGCTCGGTCAAGCCGAGCGTTACTAGATGGACAGAAATGTGTATAGCTTAAAGTTTCAATTTTGTTCTGGAAAGTTGCAACGTCATGGAGATAATATTCGTCAATCATATCTCTCAATACCAATGCACTGGAATCTCTGAAAATATTCGTGCTCGACCAGTCACCAGTTTCACAGACGCAGTTAAAGTCTCCTAGCAGTACTATTTTCCGTGCACAGTTCAGAACGTGGCGCAACGACGCAAAAAATGCTTTCCTTTCTGTTACCACGTTAGGGCAATAAACACAAATAATCCTCCAACTTATGTCATACATGACAAAATCACACACTATGAGCCTACCGACCTCATCTACGGTAATAACATAATCACTAGGACTTAACGCCCTTCTAATAAACAATAAGCATCCCCCAGACGAACCTTTGGCGTGACTAACGCAAACATCAAAACTAGCCTGAAAAGGCTGGACTAGCCTCTCGGTAGCTTCCTCACTTTCCACTTTCGTTTCCTGTACCGCGAAGACGTCCAGATCGTTATCCTCCAGGACTCTTCGGACCTGATACAGTTTACGACTAGTGGACAGGCCCCGAACGTTCAGAGTCCCGAATCTTACTGGGTTAACGAGCTTTATCTTCTCTTTAGATATAAAAGTAAAGGAACACTACGGAGACAGAAATCCTCACCAAACGCAGGCCTTTCGGGTCATGAACCAGACACCCCCTTTCCCCGAGAATTCAAGGTAGGGTCCAACTTTGACGCAGCACGGGGAGACCGGCCGGGCAGCGTTTTCCCTGGCGGCTCAGCATCCCCGCATACACTGGAGGCGCCTGTCACCCTTGGCTCCGTCTCTCGTGTCCTTTTAACGGCCAGGGTGCCAGCTTCAGCCATGGTGATGTCCTTGGTTTCCTCTCTACCGGTGCACGACTGTTCATGGTCTTCTGAGGATGCGACGCTCGAACAGGCATCAGTCCTGACCAAACGAACTGTTAGAGCGGCAGCACCAGATGGTTTATCGCTGCTCACGGCTGCCATCTTGTCTCTATTCGTTGTCTCCGGCGTTGATTCGGGCACCGCCTCCTTCGGAGCTCCTGCCTCATTGGCCTCCGCCTCATCCATGTAGAAGTCGGACGTATCTTCCCCTCCTACAGGGCCTGCAACAGCCGCGTAGGACCGAACGCAATTGTTGGTCTCATGTCCGTACCGACGACACTGGTTGCAACGTGGTGTACGACACTCACGACGGATATGGCCAGTGCGGTGGCACTTGAGGCAGAGCGGGGCGCGTCCAGGTGCCACCACGAGCGTGATCCCACCGGCTATTCGTTCCTGGTGCGGTAGGGTTTCCACAGTGACGCCCGCTTTCAAAGTAATGAGGACTATCCGCGTAGTGGATTCGATGGCCTCGCACCCTTGCACTCGCCATTTTTCCCTTGTAACTTCAGTTACTTTCCCGTATTGCGACAGAGCGGTACGCACCTCGTCATCCGAAACGTGGTGAGGCACCCAGTGGATCTTGAGACGAACGCTCTGTCCATTGGGGTCGAAGACGAGGCAACGGCGGTCTTTAACCAGAAGCTCCCGAGTTTCAACCAGTTTCTTCTTGCTTTCGTTGATTTTGAAGGTCACGAGCCACACGTGGTTCATCTGGTAAGAACCCAAAGACACCACGTCGGCGAGCAGTCCTACGTGGCTCAATGCATCGCGGAAATCCTCAACTCTGTAAGGACGTCCTTTAACGTCCGCGTGCAGAAACACAGAATTTAAAACAGTGCGACCAGTTGGCAGGGGTGGCAGATGAACAGAATAATCCAACTCAGCAGTAAATGCCTTATCGCCACGGCCCTGCTGGGCCGTTATCGCCGCTCCGTCGGAGCTTGACATTCCGCGACCGTACGCTGCGGTGTCCGGAAGTGGAATCTCGGCCACGACTGCGGGACGAGTAGGGGGCACTGAGATGTGGTAGTTACTCAAGAGCTAAGGATGTCATGGATGAAACGTTGCATGTAGCCGCTCAACGTCGATACAGGAGAGGGCGCTGCGTTCAAATGCGTCTATAACCGCGTAAAACTTTGCATGCATTGGCTCAACGTTTATAGACGGGAGGGCGCTGCGGTCAAATGCTAAAAAAATCAGTATCATCAGCACCCACCAGAGCTTCGCCCCAATCAACATCATTCACCACGTGGAGATGCGGTCATTTTTTTATTCTTGTAATTTTCCACGGTTTACACGTTACGTGTAAAGGTAGGTTAACACATTTGCGACTGCTTATGATTGAGTGAAATAAAACTTAAGCAGGAGACACATGAGCGATGAAAGCGGGCGTCGTGTGGCAGATTAATAGCAAATTGCGCGGACGCTAAGACAGGTGCGGCATGGAAAAGGTCCACGTCACAGCATCCGTGCAAGTTCGTGTGGAAACATGCTGTGCGGCGCCTGTTGTTATCCTTAGTGTGTCCCATGCTTTATTGCGATCTCTTACGACGATAGAACACACTGGCGCCATCTATCGGGTAGACGGGGACCACTTGTTAAATCTGTACATTTTCTTCTATCTTCTCGCACAATATTGTTCATAGGCTTGAACAGCTTCTGAAAACATTAAAAACGACAATTACTTGTAAATACTACGCACGTTTGATCTCTTAAATACTGGAAAACCTCCGCAGCTAGTGAAATGCAGTTCCAGGGCCCCCTCATAGATGGTGCCAGAGTGCCAGTGTTTTTTCGTCGCAAGCGATCGCAAGACGTTGGTTGTAATCAAACGCAGGTCTGTGGAACATCCTTAATAAAGCTTATGCATGGTCTCCAATGATCTAACAAGAGATAGACTATGCGTCAGATCAGTGTTGCGATGTGGCATAAGGTAAGGGAATAGGTGGACACACTTAAGTGTATGATTTAAAGCAAAACTGCAATTAGATGCCTTAAATTCCAGTAAAATTAATCTGACAATACAAATGTTGTTGAACGACCGTACATTCTTCTGGAATGTAATCAAACTGGTGGATTTCAAAATTTTGGCTTTATAATTGAATCAAATTGTTTTAGCCGTCGTAATTGCGCGTTTATTACTATTACTACGAAGCCAGTTTCTCACTTTGTATACGCACATCAAACTGACATTGTGATATATATAGGCGATATCAAATATTACTTATTACACGTATTCTATATTATGTTTATGTTTGCTACATACTCATAATATAAACAACGCCACTGACAAGGACGATGAAAGACTGGACGACACGAGCGCTGGTCCAGTCTTTCTTCGTCCTTGTCAGTCGCGTTGTTTATATTATGAATATGTACAAACTAGCCCAGCTATCCGTTTTGTTATGCTATATACTACTACAAGTTGTTCGTTATAACTTAGATTCACATGCTAAATGTTGTAGAGTATATTGTAGAGGATTGACTAATGCTGATATCGTGTTATCAGTGTCAGAATGGCCGGGCGTCCAAAGGCAACTGGTACCAATGCAATGCGTATGGCAGACCAATAAGGCAAGGTGTGTTAGCTCCTATGGACGTGAAAGCTGGTTATAACAACATGTTCTTGGGCATAATGAACATATTCAAGCAATGGGGTGCCACGCATGATATATCTTGATTGATGAGAGCCATGATAAACTGGGATTGCTAAAATGCTTAGCACCATGATTGTGATCCATCGGTTCAGCCTCGCTGATGCTTTATGTTCCTTATAAGTGAAGCATACCACGTCTGTAAATTGAATTCTCGGACATGAAACACTTCTATTAAACGCAAGATGCGTTGTTACGAAATGTGGTCGTTCAATACTTCGTGCAATACCATGCGTATACAAAGCACGATCGCGTTCGGACGTGTTTTCGGCTGTGTGCAATGTCTTGCGCGGTTCCTTAACCCTTTTCATAATAACGCCAGTTCATAGCCTGGCACTAATTCTACAATTCTTTCAGTAAAATAAAAAAGAGTAGTTAAACTCGGAGACATTCTTCACTTCCCTGATGTGATCACTGCTGACATCATGCTCTTCCCCTAGCCAAAGATGTCTCACCAAAGAAGGTACCTTCAAGGCACTCAGGGAACCCAAAACCCCATTAGTGCAGAAGTTGCAGCAGTTGCATCTTACGCGTTCAAATGAGCCTTCCGTCGTTTTCACAGTCGTAGACAATGTAATCTGAAACAATGTAGTGATAACCAAATGGTACCGGTGGAGCTGTCTCGATGCGACAAGTTGCACGCGAGAGGTTAGTGGCCACTACTATCTGACTCGACTCGTTTCTCTTTCACATATTTGACGAATTAAGATGTGGCTCACCTTTATTGTAGGGTATTGCGGATACCCACACTTGTTGCCGTCTTAATCATCTTGACACGTGATTTCTGCACCACTCAAAGCAATTTTAAGATGTCTCAACTGGGGAAATTCCCAATAGCTAAAAATGAGCCGAGTGGTAAAAGCTGCGTACAAACGGCGCGAAGTCCTCAAGCATGGTCAGGCTGTATGAGCAACCATAGTACTGGAATCCCGATCAAACGTAATCTCTAATTGCTAGTTGAACTTCACGCGTCTGGATAGGGCCAACGGTAGGTACCGGCCGCCGCTTGGTCATTGCAGCTTGCATTTCTTAAGTCTGTACAAGAATAGAACGATGTATAGACCTTTTCCGCTTACTCTCGCCCCCGACCACCAAGTAGGCATTTCAGGTATGGGCGACGAAAAAATATTAAAACGCTTCAACCTGCAAACAGTAAAAAAATAGAGGGGAGAGAAAACGAGAATGGGTGACGTTTACGCTTTTCTCCTAAATGCATTCTATTAGCGTAGCGACGGCAAAACAATGTTTTCGCCCATACTGGAAGTGATGACAATTCCAGATATAGGCGCCCTTGAAGAGAGGGTCTATAAAGTTCGTTTGAGATAAGTTTGAAATTGAATCTTCAGGCCCCCTAAATATATATGTCTTTATTTGCATTGAACGTACCTGGAAGTGAAAGTGACAGACTGGGCAGAATTTATTAATTACTGCAGAGCGCAGGAAGATGGTGCCTAGTCAGCTTAGACTCGTAAGGTACCTTTGTGTTAAAATTTATCAATGGAGTTAACCGAACTTTGCAAAAAATAAATACGTGCTTTACTATATTACTAAACATTGCATACCGTAAATAGCGCCCAGGGTGGCTGTAGTCCATGGCATACTGGGCGCAAAAGCAGATGCGACGATGCCAATCCAGGTAAACATGCTGCCGATCAGAGTAATTTGGTAAGCAGACAGGCGCAACCTGAGTAACCAGAGCAAAATTCCTGAAAGTGTAAAAAAGACACGTAAAGCTATTCACACACTAGCCTTCGATTACGCTTGATCCTGTTGTAGGGGTTTACGTCGACCTACGGCTTTGAATTATAATGTAACTAAACCGACGATTTTTACCCGGAATGTGTGTTGTGTGATAACCACACTCAGAACGTAATATATTGTGAAAGCATGGATAATTCTGTAAACAGCTTGCTTTTCCTATCGACGAAAGCGTAACATACCGTAGCGCTTCGCTTGAGGCGCTTTCGGGGAACCCCAAAAGACGGAGGCGATCAGCGTGTCTCAAATAGTGGCCAGGCTATCTAAATAGACCACAACCATCGGTCTCTTAACCTATCGCGCTACAATTGTGTGCAACGCTGGCCACAGTTGGTGCATTTTTTTCTGTGAAAATTGCAAAAAGCGAATTTACCTGATGAAGAAGTAAAAAAAAAAATAGAACGAATGAATTCCTATTGAAACGCAGCGGAACCACCGGTCTTCGAACAATAGTGCGCCCCATTGTGAAGGTCGCGGTGGCTTCGCTGCGTTTTCATAGAAGTCGAAATGTTTCTTTTTTTACTTCTTCCTCGGGTAAGTTTGCTCTTAGCAAATCTTATAAAAAATTGACCACAGGTGGGAAACGTTGCACAAAATTGTAGCGCGATAAGCTAAGAAACCGATTTTTACGGCCAATTTATAGAGCCTGGCCTTTATTTGTAACACCCTGTAGATTGCACGTGCAACGCTTCTAATGTGGTCGAATTTCGTCTGGGCCTTGTGGACGTCACCTACGACGCTAAAGCTGGTACAGTCGCTAGGGGCCTGCTGGGTTGCCCAGAGTACGCTGGGAAAATGGGCTTTTTAGGACTTGTTTTAGGCAGTACAAACTTGAGCATCTCAGATTTTCATTCATCTAGAAGCGTGCTGCTCTAATGCGAAGTGCGAGATCATAAGGGAACTACGAATAAACAACAAAAATTGGAACGCCGTCGAAGCTCAGGTTAAAACTAAGACGCCAAAAGTGTGAGCCAAGAGACGCCGTTTCACGCGTTCTGAAAAAAAAAAAAAGTAAAAAAAAGGAGCGTTCCGACAAGTGTTATGCTTATTTGTTAATATGGTTTTAGTTCAGGAATAATTCTGCGTAATGACTGTGTGTCGATCACAATTTTATGTTAAAGGTTTTCTTGGAAATTTAATGCACTTTGAGTTGTCAACTTTTGTTCTTTGTTGTTTCGTTGCTCTGATTTCATTATTAGTTGTTTCGTTTTGTGATATTTTTTGTTGAATCTCCATTTTGTCTCATGTCGATGTTTTGTGCAATTATTTTAAACATCACTTTCGTAACAACCCAAATCCGGCCTCTCAGTATCAATCAATACATACCAAATTCATAGTTTGGTTAATGCAGCAGGGTATAGCCATTCGTTCTTTCTGAGCAAGACGGAATGGGGCAGTCAGCGAGGCATTTGAAGCCATTAATTCCAATACGAGTTAACAATAATAAATTTTAGCGCTATATGAACTTCTTAGTTTCGACACCAGAGAACACGTGTTCACGTGCATTGAAGCTACCAGGTATACTTACAATAACGCTTGCGTATCAAATAAGAACTTACAAAGGTTC